AAAAAAAAAAAAAAAAGTAAACCTATGAGGTATCTTTAGAAATGAGCAAATCAACATCTATGGAGAGGTCCAGTGAATTCACTAGGGTCACCAACTAATAAATGGTAGAGCTGAGCATCTCTCCTAGATCTGACTCTGAGAACTTGCTATGATGCTATATTGTTTTCTGTCATTAAATATCACCTGGCAAGTTTCTCCCTGATTAAGGAGAAGTCTTCTCATGTTAATATTCTTGTTCAGTCTTTTTACATTTGGAAATAATAATGTATGTAGTGGTCTGTGGTTATATGTTCTCATTTACCAATAATCCAGCTTTTCTGGATCAATTATTCAACTATTATTATTAAAGCTGTGATCTGACCAAAGCTTAAGTAAAAAAATATTGGAAGTGCTTTCTCCTTGTTATCTGAACACAAAACCTTTATTTCACAGAAAAGTTAATGGCCCTGATTAGAAATAATGCATAATTTTGATTGTTTCACTAGTTTATTTTTTGCTCATATTGCAGTAATACTTCTCCAGTGGTCCCTACCTACTTTTAAAACACATTTCCTTCCTTAATTTTAAATTTTTTTTAAAAAAATTACTTTCCTATTCAATATGTTGCAGTTGCTGAATCAGGATAGTATAAGAAAAGAATGGTTTAAATATATCATATTAAAGAAACAAATTATCATCAAATTGCTTAGAGATTCTGAAGAGTTGAGAAGCTTTGTTTGAGAAGCAATAATCTGTCATTGTTTTTCTTTAACAATTATCCAGATAATTCTTACATAACTATTCTAAATGTATTATAAGTGAAGTACGGGTAACTCTTAAAATAGTGCTATTACTGTGAATTACTAATGGGATATAGCCTAAGGGCAAAAGAAAAAAACCTCACAGTAGTAAAATAATTTTTTTCATAATGTCAGGATAAAATTATCCACAATTTTTCCAACAAATCAATGAAAGGGGAAAAGGGAGGAGGGAATTTTACACAATGAAAGACATTAAGACACACACCAAGGAAATATAATGCTTGGTGGATCTTGTTTGGGTCTTGATTCAAACAACCATAACAACTTTGAAAGAATTGGAGAAATTTGAACCTAGGTGGATATTAAATAATGTTAACCTAATTTCTTAGGTATGGGAATGGCATTGTAGTTGGTTTTTTTTAAGTCATTAAAAGTTGGAGATGCATAATGAAGTATTTATGGGTGAAAACTTAGTTTGAGATGAGAAAATGATGGGCAGACAAAGTGGGCAATTATGGAAAAATACTGATAATTGTTGAAGCTAGTTATGAGTACCTGGAGATTCATCATACTATTCTTCTATATGGGGTTTGGATTTCTCATAATAACAAGTTTTTTACAAATGACACTGTAAGAAGAGGAGTTAACAAAATTAGGACATCCTTCTGAGATACAGAATCAGCACTGCAGTTACAGATGATACCTCTATTAGACACACTCTCCAGCCTTTCCTTGTTTCATCATTTGACATGATAACTTCTATCTGAATAATCCTGCTCATGCATCCTACCACATGAATCTTGGGTGTTTTTCTAATCATGGCAATGGACTCATGTAAACTGCTACCTGAGGGCATCAAATTACATGCCCAGTGTGTGTGTGTGTGTGTGTGTGTGTGTGTGTGCAGGTTAATATCTTTCTGCCTCAGTTCCTCATCTGTAAGATGGGGAAACTCACTGTAGCCCTATGTGGTAGATATCTCCATCTTACAGGTAGGGAAACTGAGACAAGTTTAAATAATTTGTCCAAGGCTCATAGCTACTAATTATTCCCATAGTTCATGGCAACAAAAGTATATAACTCTGAAAGTTTTCTATATGACTCCAACTGTATATTTTAAAGAATTTCTGCATATATTCTTTCTTCTTAGCTAGGTTGTTACATAAATATTTTCTTTTTGCTGAAAGTAGAAAAGCAGAAAGTCCCTACTAGTGTTTTTTCTCTTGTCTGGCCCTCAGACAATTGTCTACACTGTAAAGTCTAGGGATAGTAAAGGTAAGGCTCCATATAGTTTATCCAGGCAAGAGTTCGGAATACTGCATCCATTTTCATCCCAGAAAATGTAAGATCCTATGAGGACGCCTGGTGGCGCTGCAGGATAAGAAGGTACAAACCAGCCCTGCAGCTGCGACTCCATTAACAGGCAAAACCAAGCAGCAGAACCTGGAAGCCCACGGGAAGCTTGGATGCCATGGGACGGAGGACTGGAAGGACTGGGTCCTCTAATAGGAGCACTCACTGGAATATTTCTGAGGTCTCTTAGGAAAGAACCACAAGTCTTGGATTCTGAAGTCTTTACAGTTCAGCAGAACCACCCTCAAGGGAGGCTTTACCAGAAAAGAACAATGGAGACCAGCGGGAAGCTCATTTGCAGACAAAGGCAAGTCCTTTTATTCATTCTCCTCTTGGGCTTATCTCAGGCGGGCTTGGAACCTAGGAGCTATTCTGTGGTGGAGGAAACTGAGGGGCATGCATTTGTAACCAATTTAGTAAAGGACCTGGGTCTGGGTCAGGGGGAACTCTCCAAGCGGGGAGCTAGGGTCATTTCCCAAGGGAACAAACTACATTTGCAGCTTGATCAGGAAACTGGAGATCTGTTGCTAAATGAAAAACTGGACCGGGAGGAATTGTGCGGTCACACGGACCCCTGTGTGCTGCGTTTCCAGGTGTTGCTAGAAAATCCCCTAGAGTTTTTTCAAGCTGAGTTACAGGTAATAGACATAAATGACCATTCCCCGGTATTCATAGACCGAGATATGTTGTTAAAAATATCAGAGAGCAGTCCACCTGGAACTACATTTCCACTGAAGAACGCTCAGGATGTGGACGTGGGCCGAAATAATATTGAGAACTATGTAATTAGCCCCAATTCCTACTTTCGGGTCCTTACCCGCAAACGCAGTGATGGCAGTAAATATCCTGAATTGGTGCTGGACAAAGCCCTAGATCGGGAGCAGGAACCTGAGCTCAGGTTAACCCTTACAGCTCAGGATGGCGGCTCTCCACCCAGGTCTGGCATCGCTCAGATCTACATCGAAGTCGTGGACATCAATGATAATGCCCCCGAATTTCAGCAGCCTCTATATAGGGTGCAGATTCCTGAGGACAGTCCCATTGGCTTCCTGATTGTCACAGTCTCTGCCACCGATGTAGACACAGGAGTCAACGGAGAGATTTCCTATTCACTTTTCCAGGCTTCTGAAGAGATTTGCAAAACCTTTGAGATCCACCCAAAGACAGGAGAAATTCGGCTGAAAAAGCAACTTGATTTCGAAAGAATACAGTTCTATGAGGTCAATATCGAGGCCAGAGATGCTGGCAGTCTTTCCGGAAAATGCACCGTTCTGACTCAAGTCATGGATGTGAACGACAATGCCCCAGAAGTCACCGTGTCTGCATTTACTAGACATATACCTGAGAACTCGCCTGAGGCTGTGGTTGCAGTTCTCAGTGTTTCAGACCTTGATTCAGAAGAAAACGGGAAAATAAATTGCTCCATTCAAGATGATCTACCCTTTCTTCTGAAATCTTCCTTGGAAAACTTTTACACCCTAGTAACAGAGAGACCGCTGGACAGAGAGAGCCAGGCCGAGTACAACATCACCATCACCGTCACTGACCTGGGGACGCCCAGGCTGAAAACCCAGCACCACCTAACGGTGACGGTGTCCGACGTCAACGACAACGCCCCGGCCTTCAGCCAAAGCGCCTACACCCTGCGGGTGCGCGAGAACAACAGCCCCGCCCTGCACATCGGCAGCGTGAGCGCCACGGACAGAGACTCGGGCGCCAACGCGCAGGTCACCTACTCGCTGCTGCCGCCGCACGACCCGCAGCTGCCCCTGGCCTCGCTGGTGTCCATCAACGCGGCCAACGGGCAGCTGTTCGCGCTCAGGTCCCTGGACTTCGAGGCGCTGCGCGCGTTCGAGTTCCGCGTGGGCGCGGCCGACCGCGGCTCGCCGGCGCTCAGCAGCCAGGCGCTGGTGCGCGTGCTGGTGGTGGACGACAACGACAACTCGCCCTTCGTGCTGTACCCGCCGCAGAACGGCTCGGCGCCCTGCACCGAGCTGGTGCCCAGGGCGGCCGAGGCGGGCTACCTGGTGACCAAGGTGGTGGCGGTGGACGGCGACTCGGGCCAGAACGCCTGGCTGTCGTACCAGCTGCTCAGGGCCACGGAGCCCGGGCTGTTCGGCGTGTGGGCGCACAACGGCGAGGTGCGCACGGCCAGGCCGCTGAGCGAGCGCGACGCCGTCCAGCACAGGCTGCTGGTGCTGGTCAAGGACAACGGCGAGCCGCCGCTGTCGGCCAGCGTCACGCTGCACGTGCTGCTGGTGGACGGCTTCTCGCAGCCCTACCTGCCGCTCCCGGACGCGGCGGCGGCCGAGGCCCGGGCCGACCCGCTCACCGTCTACCTGGTGGTGGCCTTGGCGTCGGTGTCGTCGCTCTTCCTGTTGTCGGTGCTGGGCTTCGTGGCGGTGCGGCTGGGCAGGAGGAGCCGGGCGGCGTCGGGGGGCGGCTGCTCGGTGCCCGAGGGCCCCTTTGCGGGCCACCTGGTGGACGTCAGCGGCGCGGGGACCCTGTCGCACAGCTACCAGTACGAGGTGTGTCTGACGGGAGACTCAGGGACCAATGAATTCAAATTCCTCAAGCCCATTATCCCCAATATCCAGGCACAGAGCTCTGGGAGGAATAGTGAAGAAAAGCCCACCTTTCGAAATAGCTCTGGATTTAATTTTCAGTAAGAATTCTTTTTTTTTTCTTTAAGTGTTGTACTCATATCTATATTAGTTTAGTTTTAAAACTCCTAGTTGTTATGCAGTTTCAAGCCTAATTTTAAGTGCTATATATGTTTTACAATGTTATTTCATCCTTTTTGCATTAATCAATAGGTAGCTTTAATTAGCACCCTTTTCTAAATAATAGTTTTAAGGTTTAACCATTTCAAAATGTGCAAGGATTTAGTTATTATTTCTTATCTAGAGAACAAATTTTTATTTTCTCAGACTAATCTCTTGATCCTAATCACCTTGTACTTCCTTCATGTAAGAAGACATACCTGCACTTCTGACCTTATCTAACATTCTATTTAATCATATATTTAAAAACCATGTCATCTAGCATTTAAAAATAAATATTTCTCTATTACTCTGCTCACGACACAATGAGATCATCTTGTGAGTGATATTGGACTCACAAGATACCTTGTAGTCATATTGTTATTTCATTTCCCTTAAATACACTACTGTTACCTTTTTCTAGTGTGCACTTTTGCTGACATATGTAAAAATAGGTCATGTCTTACAATTCCAAGAAAATGTAATAATCTGCATGAAAATGAAAATAAAAACATTTTGAAAATTTTTGTTGGAATATTGGTGGACTGTTGGAAAGATAATCACTTTTCATTTCATTTTGTAAATTTATTTTAGTTGTTAGGAAAATTTAAAATCAAGATGAACTAAAAGTCACGAAGAAAAACAATAAATTCTTCAATCTCCAGGCCCCTCCTACAGAGTAGTTTCTCTAGAATTGCTCTCAGTATTTCTTTTTTAAAATTTTTTTTTGAAGATTTTATTTATTTATTTGACAGAGACACAGTGAGAGAGAGGGAACACAAGCAGGGGCAGTGGGAGAGGCAGGGTTCCCCCTGAGCAGGGAGCCCGATGAGATGTGGGTCTTGATCCCAGGACTCGATCCCAGGACTCGATGCCAAGACTCCGGGGTCATGACCTGAGCCAAAGGCAGTTGCTTAACCAACTGAGCCACCCAGGTGCCCCTGCACTCAACTCTGCCTAAGGCCTCCAAAACTAGGGATAGTCCCATTTAATTTCTCCAAAGAACTAACTTCCCATTCTCTGCCTCTGAGATACTTTCCTATCTATGTAGGATGATGAGAGGATCAGAGTATCCAACTCTCCCATTTACATACTGTCACCTGATAACTTCTTTTTTAGTCCTTAACTGACACTTGGCTCTTCTAAATCTTGTACCTAAATGGGATATTATAGAAAAAACCCACTAGTTTTGTGTGAATATCTCCAATGCAGGAACTTTACTTTAGATGTTTCTTGGAACTGCTAACTCAATTGCTCTTTCTTCTAATTTCTGTCATCAAAATTATGGGTGTTCACCTGTGCATTCTTAGTCTGAGTTCATACCACTTTAGGGTTTTTTTTCTGTCATTTTAGTGAGTATTTTAAAAGGAAGGAGGATAACTGAGTGTAGTCAACCTACCTACTTTTCAGTTTCTACCCTTTTGTAGTAATCAATTTTTCAATAATGTGTCTTACATTTTAAAAAATGTAATTTAAACTTACCATTTTTAAATGTAAATTTTTAGAAACCTCCTTGATCCATTCTTGAGAGCTTCTAGGATCAACTTCAAACAATTTCTCTCAACCTTGCACTTTGGCTAGGACTCAAACCACCCAAAGCTTAAAAGGTGGTCCCAGACAGTTTTAAAACAAAGCAAAGTCCAAAGATTGGTCTTCAGATTCTGAGACTAAAATCTCCACCTATAATTATATACCTCTATACCTTTTGAAATGATTGCTTCAAAAGCAGATCTATGATCTTAATTGTCTAATCAGAGTAAAACTAAGTTGTTGCTCTATGATTGGGAAAGAGAATTTCTCTCTTTTGGGGTTGAAAGAGAAAACAGGTGACCATTGTTGTAGCTGAATAAATCTTGTGAACCTGAGGGAAGGTGGTTTTAGGAGTAAGCCTGCTTTAAATGAAAGTAACATGTTTGTGTTTGTGTACTTATTAAATACTTTGTGTAAATTATGAGAAACTAGAACTAAATTATGACTTTACCTAATGTGTTCCACCCCAGTATTTTACTTCATTTTCTCCCAGTTCACAGCTGAGTGCTGTGAAGGAAATCTACAGAGGTGACTTCTCGCCCTGTAACAACTATCTATTTGTGTTTCATCTCACGATTTACCCAATTCATATCCTCTGAGGGGAATCCCAAAGTGACTCGTGTATACTTTCCCTTTCCATTACAACCAAAAGAAGGCCAAGTAGTGATGCAATCTTGTTTCAGGTTTTCAATTTTCTCAGA